TCCAAAAACCTGCACTGCATCTTAAAGGCTTAGATCCAAACCAATTGACAATTTCATCTCCGCCAAGTATAATTGTATTGATTTGTCTCTTTTCTAATAAAGTGGATGATTCGAATGAATTTAATACCACTTTTCTTTTTTCTTTTTTAGATAAGTAGACTATATTCGGTTTGAAAATTTTAACACTTTTAATAAACTCTTTGTTCTTTGGATCATTCTTATCTTTTAAATATATAACAACATTATTAACTTCGGGTTCGATACTAATTATGCTATTAATTATATTAAATTTTTGTATTAATTTATCTATTTGGACGAATGTAGAATTTAATTGAGACCAGGAGTTTGTTGCTTTCTTAAATCTTAAATATTTTTTATATTCTTTTATTTGTGAAGAGTTTCTCACTTCTTCGATCTTAGATAGGTCCACCGTATTAATATTTATTTTATTCGTCTTTACATCTACATATGTTCCTCCAAAATATAAATTATTTAATAATGGTTGTAATTTACCATCTATCATAATTAATTTTGCCTCTCTGTCTAATAGCTCTGGTACTTTTTTATTTTCTACTCCCCAAAGTTTTGCCAAAGGTTCGAATTGTGCTTTAACCATTGAATCATTTTGTATTATAAAAGCGAATAAAATTAATAATGTTTTTAGATAAATGTGTTTATTTCTCATATTAGATAATATATTATAGTATTAAAAGTTCGTCAAAGGTTTTTGATGGATTACAGTTACAAAGGGGAATTTATAATAAAATATTAAATACTTTAAGGTCCAAACATAGCCTTGAAAATCTCGGACAAAACAGACCAAAATATCAGTTTGTAATCACATTTTGACTTATTGATTCGATAGTTTATTCAATAAACTATTAAATCTACAAAGGTTAAATGTGATTCACATATAAATACAAACCGATATTTTGGTCTGTTTTGTCGACTTAGCCCGATCGAAAATGTCGTAAGGTATGATTCTGGGTCAAAACCCCGAAACTTAAAAGGGGAATTATAATACAGTCGGGCACATTACCAAAAATGGGCAATGTAGATCGCCCTTTTTATGGTATAGAAATGCAGATCAAGTG